AGGGGAAGTGGAGCCAGTTGCACAAAGGGAACAAATTAAAGTTGAACAGGCCATCTTACATTTTGCATTTTCTAACTTCTGAGTGTTTAACTGTGCGACTTTAACATACTTTTAATGGAATTTATTTTGCATGTAATTTCCCAAACTTTTAAAAATTGAAGCTGAAAAAATAGAAATTCCATCATGAGGAAGGATTTTGAACACCCTCCCCCCAGTGGGTTATATCCTTAAAGATTCACAGCACAGAACCCGGCCACTTGAACTAATGGATTAACTGATAGCAGGAGGAGGTTCTAGCCTCTGTGTGTTCCACTCCCTTCTATTGGCTGGTCCACTTTGCCAGTAGGTTTTATAGCTAGACAGCAGAGGAATGCCGAGGCTCGCAAATTGGGGTTCAATTCCAGGTTCTGCAGCAGTGTTCCATAGTAGCTAGGGATTCTTCTACCCATCTATGCCCCCTCTGCTCCTGTTCCCTAGCTAGTGCCCCCATCAGCCTGTCCCCATTTCCCTTCCATCTCTACTTCTGCTCCCCCAGCCTATCCCTGTACTTCCAGCTCCTCAGCTGCCTGCACTGCAGTCAGGTTGCTTCTTCCTTCTCCTCCCTTGAGAGCACAGGACACAGTCTCCCTGCTTTCAGTTCCAATAGTCAGTGTGGCAGAGTTAGGGTGACCAGATGTCCCGATTTTATAGGGACAGTCCTGATTTTGGGGTCTTTTTCTTATATAGGCTATTACCCCCTACCCCCTGACCCGATTTTTCACACTTGCTGTGTGGTTACCCTAGGCAGAGTAGCCTCTACTTCAACAAACAGGAGCAATTGCAGGGAAAAACTGGGCTTGAGCATGCTCAGTGCAGACAGAATCTTCAGAGAATTTAGCTGCCAGACTTTTAGCAAACCTCCACTGAGCATCTGCAAAGAGCAATTTCAGAGGCTTACAACTAAGCCATGGGATGGGAGGAGAGGAAGAGATTTTTAATGGGGACAGCAAAAAGCCCTTTTTGACCAGAGGGCAACCCTCCCGCTAAGTTTAGAGTCCCAGCTCCACAGCATATTTGCATTAAAGCTTCTCAAGAATTGTAAGAATTTCATATTAGCAAAACATTCCCCCCCCCCCAATTCATTCTTGGAAATAAGTGAATTTTTTTTTGCTTAAATTTTTAAAATATAATTCAGCCTGAGACAGGCACCCAGCATGGAAAGTTTTAGCCCCCGCAGTTAGTTTGGCAGTTATAAACAACTAAAAATAGGGTTTTATAATGGAAAGTGTTAGGCAATCTTAACTGTAGGTGTTGCTGCCAGCTCCACCTATGCTAATAACAGCAATACCAAGATTAAGGAAAATTCTTTTAGAAGGGCCAACAGAAACCAAAAGAGGAAAGTGAGTGAAGCAAGGCTGGCCATCAGGAATGGCTTTCTACCCTATTAGGTCAATTAAACTAAGGAGGAAACTTTGCAGGCCTCACACACAAGGAATTATCCAAACAGAGAGGATGTTCTCTAAGGGGGGTGTGGGGCGGAAATCTATTAAAAACAAAAATTACTCCATTATAACATGACCAAGCTAAGTAAAAACTAAAAACTAAACCAAGAATCTCTTCCATACTGGCCAGAAGTAAACTTACTCACAGAATGAAGGGACTATTTAATTCAGCACTCTCTATATTAAAAAAAAAAAAAAAAAAAAAAAAAAAAATCACTATTTGGGATCAGATCTACTCATAGGAAATTAAATACATTTATCTCCATATTTTGTGTTTGTGTCATGCTGTTGATACAAAAACAGCAGAATGCTTCACAGGCGATGTTGAAAATTGAAGAGGCTTCAGAAAAGAGCTACAGGAATAATTTGTGGTTTGGAAAACATTGATTACAATTTTTTTAAATTTATTGAAGAGAAGGTTAAGAGTCAACTTAATCATGGACCATAATTATCTACTGAGGGAGAAGATATAGACTAAAGAGCCTCTTGTATTGGATAAGACAAAAAGGTATAACAAAATCCAATTGGTGGACATTGAGATCAGCAGTGTTCAAACCAGCAATGTCACATTTTCAACAGTGAGGGTAATTAGGAACAGATTGCCACGGGATGTAGTAAATTCTCTATCATTCATGTCACATCTTTACAGCAAGACTTACAGCAAGGGAAGTGGGTTACTAGAAGACACCTATTCAAAAGGTGCTTGGTTTAACCAGGTTCTCCATTTCTTCATGTCACTAGATGGACTCACCTCTTCATTCCACATAGCATTTAAATGCTTATGGTGAAATCCTTATTCCATTGATGTTCACATATTTCCTTAGGTTCTTATACAGCTTCCATTACTGTAGTGTCTGAGCACCCTTTGGAGTTTTGCCATTGACTTTAAAGATTATGGGATTTGGTCCAGTGTAAGAATTAAAGTCCATCTGTGAACTATTACATACAGATTCAGAGAGTGGCTGCATGAATCTGTGTGGTTAGAAGAAGCCATTGAATTATCTGGATTTGGAAACTCAACTTACAACATTCACTGCTCTGGCACATAATAGTGCCTTTCATGAATACACTGTACAAGAAGAAATCTTTGATTCCTGACCACGTAACTATTTCCCAGAGAGATTCCTGTATCCAAGCTAGCCAGCCCTTCAAGATCTTGGCTTCCAACCAGCTCCATCACAAGATGGGCCTCATCTTTAAGGCTAGTCAAGAAGCCCCATCAACTCAGAAAGATGGAAGGTCATAAGCAAAAGCTGACCAACTAGCTGTAGATTTTTGCAGAAGAGGACCCTGGCTCAGATCAATTGAAAAGCCTATAACAGGCTGTCTAGAAAATAAGGTAGGTGGTTAGCCACTAAACAGACATTTTCTTTACAGATGCTAGGCTGGAGAAATATAGCTACCAGAAGTCGTAGCATGCAAGCTTCCTCCTAACATCCCTGTCACAGAGTTTACTACTCACTGCTATGGCACCTCCTTGTGACCGACTAGTTTTCAACCAGTCCGATGCACCTTCCTTGGTTTCTCACCCCATCTCTTTCACTGGATTCAGGTACTCCCTCTTCATGGCTTGGCCCTCTAGCCAGGCTACTATAGTTTTCCCCTTCTGGGGTATCAAAGTCCCATGGTCTCAGGCAGTTTTTTGTTACTCTACCTAGAGACAGTGTCACTTTTTTAGTAGCTGGTAGGGGAACCTAGGCCTACCCTCTCCTGTAGGTTCTGGCCCCAAAACCACACAGTATCCAATCTCAGACCCTGTTGCTGTTTCCCACCTACCTATCTGTCTCTCTCTCTCTCTGCTAGCCCACCCTTAGTTACCAAGAGAACATCCTCTGTTCTATGTGACTACTTCACTCTCTCTCAAGTTCTTGCCAGTATCTCTATTCCCAGGTAGGATCCCAAGACTTATTTATTTTTTGTCTTTTATCAACACCCCTCATCCCGGGGGGGGGGGGGGATAACTATCACATTCCTTCCTGTAGCCCCCATCTTGCCAGCCCCACTTCCTGGTTTTATATGAACTCAGCATGGCCCTGCCCAGCTGTGCTTCATCATCAGTTAGAGCTTGGCAGCCCTGACTCTTCTCCAGGTACAGTCTGTCAAAGGGTTAATAGGCCCTTTCTACCTATTCAGGCCAGTTGTGAGGTAGACACCCCATCACAGTCCCCTCCTGCAGATTAGAAACATGGGCAGAAAATAGCAATGAGATTCAGCTGGGAAAACTGCAGCTAATACATCTGGTAGAAAATGATCTGTGGCAGGGGTGGCCAACCTGAGCCTGAGAAGGAGCTAGAATTTACCAATGTACATTGCTAAAGAGCCACAGTAATACATCAGCAGCCCCCATCAGCTCCCCCCACAGCACCTCCTGCCTGCTGGCAGCCCTGCTGATCAGCACCTGTCCCTCCCCCCCATCTCCTGCCCACCGTGATCAGCTGTTTTGCAGTGTACAGGAGACTCTGGGATGGAGGTAGGAGGAATAAGGGTGCAACAGGCTCAGGGGAGGGGGCAGGGGCCTTGGGGTAAGGGGTGGCAGGGCCTGGGGTTGAGCAGTGGAAAGTTGGCACCTTTAGCTCCAGCCCCAGAGTCAGCACCTATGCAAGGAGCTGCATATTAACTTCTGAAGAGCCACAGGTTGGCCACCCCTGATCTGTGGTGTGGGAGGCTCATCCCAAGAGGGAGGGATGTGGGGAGAATTGCTTTGCCCAGGATGGGGTGAGGGGTAGGAAGTTCTGCAGGAGGAAGCAGGGTTCTGCCAGGACCCAGCAGAGCGTGAGGGAAGTAGAGCTCTGCATAGAACAGAAAGGTGAGTGGGAAGCTATGCCCGGACTCAGATAAATCAGGCTCTGACAGAGAGAGGGAGGGGCAAGTATCTTGGATTTTATACAATAAAAATAAGATAATTAATATGCCTAACGTGTGGAGATTGGTATCTTAATGGTGTGCACATGCAGGGCTGCCCATGACTGGGGGGAGTGTATGCACCTACACATGCATTTAATGGAAGGATCATGATAGGCAAGCAACTGCCAATAACTCAAGGATCTTATTTGTGTTGTAGCTGCGCATGCCGTCAGACTGCACTCTCCTGGGCAGGCCTGTGCCCCCCATTATCTGGGAGTCCCCCCAACCTGCACTCTCCAAGGCCGGCCTGTGCCCCCCCGCACTCAGGCCCATAGTAACAAAGGATGCGGGTGTGCAGGGGGAAGGGCGGGCTCAAGGGGCGAGCCCAGGAGAGCAGAAGTAGGGCCTGCCGGGGGGCCCTGCACAGGGAGAGGCCATGAGGGGGAGGGGGTGTCTCCCTGAGGGAAACGCAGGGGCCGGGCCTGAAGCTCCCGACGCGTCCTTTGTCCGGAAGGTGCAGGGGGCGCTCGGGCCAGGGAAACGGGAGGGCGGAAAGTCGCTCCGGGACGGGACTCCGGAGCCGGGAGCCCGCGGTCCTTCCGGTGAGGCGGGGCTCCCTCGGCTCTCCCCGAGCTCGGCCTCGCCCCTGCTTACAGCGCCGGCTGGAGGCGGCCGGGCCCAGGTGAGCAGCACGGACTGCCCCTCCCCCCCGGGCCGCGGCCATCGAGAAACCCCAATGGTGGGTTTGGCTGCAGCCCCCCCAACAGTTGGGGGAGGAGGGGCACAGGGTGCAGCCCCCCCCTTCCCGGGAGCCCCCCC